CGGCCCCCCCCTCCTGGAGGCTGTACGGACCTCAGTGGCTTTCCCGAGCCCCGTTAGCGGAGAGGTCTGGTGCACTGTGTGTGTGTCAGAGTCTGGGGCGCGTGTCAGTCGGGGGGCTACAGTTTACCAATTGCTGATACCTGAAGAATATTAGAAGCAGGATGCTTGTCAGTCAGTAGGACCACTGGATTATCCAGGAAGGAAGATAAGGTCATTGCTGAGAAATGCCCTCTTTGCATTGGATCTAGCCTCTCCTGAGGCTGTGAGGGTGATTCTCAGGCTCAGACATTCTTTTTAGGTGACTTATCAGAGGAAATAATCTACATTGAGGAATCAACAAAGAAAGTTTTAAAACAAATTAGTAAAAGGGCCTGAATTGGATTTAGCGAAGGCCTCTGAAGAAATTCACACATGAAATTGCAGAAAAATGAACTGTGGTATATAAACTGTTAGTTAAATTAGCCTCTGTACCAGATGGCCAGAAACTAGTTAATGGAACCAATTTTTTTTAAATGTTCTAAAAGTGATCTTGGACATTACTATCCAGTAAGCTGAACCTCAACTTCAAGGCTAGTTGGTTGACACTATAAGAAGGAATAGAATTATCAGACACACATCTAATGTGCTATGCTAGGGAAGAGTCAAAAGATTCCGGGCTTCCTGGTCTTTTGACTAGTCTTTTGACTAGTTGATATCCCCCTTTGCTGCCTCTATTTCATAGAGACAGCAAGGGAGGGGGATATCAACTAGTCAAAAGACTAGTCTTTAACATCCTTAGTTCAAACTAGGGATGTTAAATGCATTTGAGTAACCATGTAACCGCTGAAAATTTGAAGGGTTTTATGTGGGAGGCAGACGGCTCCCTTGGAACTAGTGCACATAGACAACCAGCTTAAAAGCTGGCTCCCCCTGTGTACCAGCTTGTCCCCGCCCACCCTTCCCCGATGTTGCCTGTGATACAACGGTAGAAGTGTGGGATGGTAGGCGGCTACCTGATGCCTCCCTTAAGCCATGTACCAGGGACCTGCATGTAACAGAGAAGGTTAACTGATGAGCCCAGGTTCATTGGTTAACCGTGTATGTGGTTATAGCTTCACATCCCTAGTTCTAAGCAACGGGCATTCTTTCTTTGAATTAATCTGATATAAAGGCTACAAAAGCTAGAGTTCTGAAGAAGTGTCTAAGACTGTTCTTGTCTTAACAAAAACTATGTAAGGTAAGGAATAAACGTGACACACAGTTTGTGACGTATTTCTAGAGCTAGCTGAAATTTTGCAGTTTCAATTCTGATATAAAAATGGCAACCAAAAATTGACAAAATGCTCATGAATCTTCATCCCCACCTCTTTCAATTTTTAGGTTAGATTTAAATATTTTCACTTGATGAAAGATTTCCTTTAATGACTTGTAGATGACCAAGATAATTGGTTTTTTTTTATTACTCTGTTTATGGCTTTACAAATTGTGGGTTGAACTAGCCTGGTGGTATGATCATAAGAATGGCCATACTGGGTCAGATCAAAGGTCCATCTAGCCCAATATCCTGTCTGCCAACAGTGGCCGATACCAGATGCCCCACAGGGAGGGATCACAACAGGTGATCCTCACATGATGCCTCCCTTGTCTCCCACTTCCAGAGAAACAGAGACTAGGGAGACCATTCCTACCCATCCTGGCTAATAGCCGTTGATGGACCTAACATCCATGAATCTATCTAGCTCTTTTTTGAACCCTGTTAAAGTGTTAGCCTGCACTGCATCCTCTGGCAAGGAGTTGCACAGGTAGACTCTGCTCTGAGTGAAGAAAAACTTCCTTTTGTTTGTTTTAAACCTGCTGCCTGTTAATTTCCTTTGGTGACCCCTAGTTCTTATATTGTGGGAATAAGTAAATAACTTTTCCTTATTCGCTTTTTCCATGAGTCATGATTTTATAGACCTCTATCGTATACCCCCTTAGTCTTCTCTTTTCTAAGCTGAAAATGCCAAGTCTTTTTAATTTCTCTTCATATGGGACCTGTTCTAAACCCCTAATCATTTTTGCTGCCCTTTTCTGATGCCAGTATATCTTTTTTGAGATAAGGTGATCACATCTAAATGCCGTATTCAAGATGTGGGTGTACCATGGTTTTATATAGAGTCAAGAAAATATTTTCTGTCTTATTTTTTATATTCCTTTTTTAATGACACCTAACATTCTATTTGCTTTTTTCACTGCTGCTGCACACTGAGTGGAAGTTTTCAGAGAACTATTCACAATGACTCCAAGATCTCTCTCTTGAATAGTTGTAGCCAAATTAGTTCCCATCATATTGTATGTGTAGTTGGGATTATGTTTTCTGATGTGCTTTATCAACATTAAATTTCATTTGCCATTTTGTTGCCCAATCACTTAGTTTGGTGAGATCTTTTTGAAACTCTTCACAGTCTGGTTTGGTCTTAACTGTCTTGAGCAGTTTGGTATCTGCAATTTTTGCCACCTCACTGTTTACCCGTTTCTCTAGTCTAGATCATTTATAAATAAGTTGAATAGGATGGGTCCCAGGACAGATCCTTGCGGGGCACCACGAGTTACTCCTCTCCACTTGGAAAGCTTTCCATTTATTCCTGCCATTTGTTTCCTGTCTTTTAACGAGTTATTAATCCACGAAAGGACTTTCTCTCTTATCCCATGACAATTTACTTTACTCAAGAGAATTTGGTGAGGGACCTTGTCACAGGCTTTCTGGAAATCTAAGTATACTACATCCGTTGGATCCCCCTTGTTCACATATTTGTTGACCCCGTCAAAGATTAGAGAGGCTGATTTCCCTTTACAGAAACCATGTGCAGGAGCAGCCCTTCGAGGGGCCCAAACTCCCTGCAGACAGAGGCTGCTCCAGCATCACACAGCTTTTAAGCAAGTTCCCCTGACCCCTAGCACTGGCTCCCACCTGCCCCCCCTTTGCTGCCTCTGATACAGAAGTAGTAAGGGGCAGGAGTTCCATGTAGTAGTTTGGATTAATTGATAATCCTAGGCTTAGCTGTTTAAAAGATTAACCGATATATGTTATTGCTAATATCTCTAGTTTGGGAATGACCTTGGTGATTTTTTCATCTTCCTAGTTTAATGGAATTTAGCTTTGTGAAGAGGAGATTAAATATGGCGATGAGGTATATTTTTAAAATTATTCATCTATTGAGTAGCTAGTAATACAGGCAATCTGTAGGACGTTGTACATCTCAATCTCCTGATAACAGCTGGGATACAGTCATGGTTGTCCTGTATTCTTAAGAACACATGGGAGCCAGAGAACAAAAGCATAGAAAAACAATTTGCCTTATTTCTCCCAATAAATACACAAGCGTATAGATATAATATATCAGTAACATGACAGATTTCCTTTTCTCGTGCACGTAATGTAAAATAGATGATTAACATAAACTCATGAGGCTTTTGTTGATGCTTTTCTTTAGGTATTCTTAAACAAGTTAAAGATTACATTAAAGAATGTAGTAAATGCCAGGAAAAGCTAGATCGTTCTAGATCTCTGTCAGATCCTTCTGAAATGCTAGAGGAACTAGGACTGGACACAAGATCTCACGAAGATAGTAATGAAACAGATGATGAATTAAGTAACACTGCATCTGTCCCAGCTGCATCACCGAAATCTGTGAAAAAGAAGCCAATAGCAAAACATGAGCTTGTATTTGTAAGTAGCCATTTTATATATTTGTAAAATTACAAAAATGTTAAATTTTAGTGTCTTAGACAAATTAATATTTATCATAGCTGTCATTCTTACCATGTGATTTGATATTAAAGTACACTGAATGTTCAACTAACACCGAGTGTATTGCAGTGTTGAGAAACTGGATCAAATGGGTCACCAGTATCTATTTTTTTGGTCATCCTTCTCTTCATTTTTTTTTTTTCTCAAATGACTGCTTGTGTATAGGATATTTTTAAGTTTCACAGATTTTATAATTTTTTCTATTGTTTTCTGTTTTTATATTGTGGAAATATAAGTTTAAATAAATGCCTAAAAGGGAGAGTATTAGAAATTGAAACAATTAATTAAAAGCCCTGCTTTTAATAAGATATGCTGATTTTTTTTCTAGAAAAGAAGAAATGTATAGTGCTCAGTATGAAAGCTGAAAAAGATAAATGTAAAGCACCTTTTTGTAATGGATTTGTTTTTGGTAGGTTGATAGTAAAGGCCTTGTGAAGCAGTCTTCTTCAAAACATTCTCTGTCAGTTTTAAACCAACTGAACCAGCAGAGACTTTCCAATCAGTTTTGTGATGTTACTCTGTTGATTGAAGGAGAAGAGTACAAAGCACACAAATCTGTCTTGGCAGCTAACAGTGAGTACTTCCGGGAGCTTTTCATCGAAAAGGGAGCTGTCTCCAGTCATGAAGCGGTAGTGGATCTTTCAGGTAAATAAGCTGTAACTTCAAAATAATTTAAGCAGAAAATGTTAAGTAAAGTTTAATAAATATGGCATAATGGCACCTGAATATTTAAGAAATGAACTTACTTCTTGATTTAGAAATATTGTGAGTTTTTTGGATTTTATGTTGGAAGAAACCATCATATAATCTTGCCTCATGCATAACACAGACCATAGACTATCACCCAGTAATTCTTATGTAGCCTTTGAATAACTGTTTATAATTGGCTTAGTTGTGTTTGTGCTTCATATTAGTTCATTGAGTTTAGAAGCAGGCCAATGCCTGAATATATAAAGGACTGTTCATTATCTTCTTGAAGAGCTTTTTTTTGCCAGAGCAAACACTTTTGGTCAAGTGGTAATGTTATACAGACACAGGCAGCACAAAAAATTGACCATTCAAGTCTCTTGAAGTCAAGAAGATATTAATAAAGCTTCAAAAACTGTACTTTCGTGACAGAAGTTACTATACATAGCACATGGGTGAATGCTTGGTATGTTGGCCTAGTACTGGCCTTTCTTCTTGTTTCCTCTCCCAATTCCTATCCTCCTGTAGTTAAGATGGATGAACAAATTGACTTTTAGCATGACAGTCCAGAAGCTGCTCAAAGGTAAGTTTCAGTGGTTCTCATAATTGTGGGTGGAAGATATGCATTTTAAAAGTGATTTCATATACATTTCTTGAACTGTTGTCACTTTTTCTCTTTTGTATCTTTTTCCTCCACCATGTCATTTTTTATCTTATCCTCCTGCACTTTATCCTTAATGCAAAAGGTGCAAGAAGATACAAATAGGGCCAGGATTTCTATTTCAGAGAGGGGAGCAGTACCATACTTTATTTAGAAGCAGTTAAAAAATTCAAAACTGCTTCAGTTGTATTTAATATTGTGATCCTAGTGTGTTTGACTTAGGCAGGCGTCCATGCTGGGAGAACACTTCTGCTCACGAATGAGATGCTAACTGAAATAATATATAGTTGCTGAAACAGCTAGATTATAGACATTACTCTAACACAAAAGCCCATCCAAATTAAGGGATGTTCATTATGGATTAGCTTGAAACAATTTGGTGATCACTGTGTTTTCTATAATCTCACACTTCTTGTATATTCCATGCAGGTTTTTGCAAGACAAGTTTCCTCCCTTTACTGGAATTTGCTTATACCTCAGTGTTAACTTTTGACTTCTGTAGCATGGCAGAAGTTGCCATGCTAGCCAGGCATCTCTTCATGTCAGAGGTTTTGGAAATCTGTGAAAATGTGCACAAACAGATGGAAGACAAACAAATTACAGTCTACCAAAAGGGAGATATTCACACTGTAGAGTCAACACAAAGTTTGCCAGAGCAGAATGCAGTTGAGACGCAGCCTGTGGATAGTGTTGAACAGCCTCTGCCTACAGAAGTGGTAAACAGTGAAGTAGTGGCAACTGTGAATGGAGCATCTCCCAGCACTGGACAAGAGGAGACAACAGCACCACAGTCTGACTCTCAGACTTCAGAGGCTATAACAGAGCCTACAGTACAGTCTGTTTATACTGAAACAAGTGGAAATGAAATAAAAATAGAAATGGTACAGAGCATTGCAAATAACATTGTTTCTGTCATGCAGTCTGAGCCTCCAGTGACAGAGGACATGGAAACATGCTCTCCAACAGAAGACACTGAGGCTGATCAAAATGAGAGCAGCACAGAAAATGTAGAAATCACTTCAGAAGAGTCTTTAGAAGCACTCAAGCAAAAATGTAGCAGGCCATGTAAGGCAGACAGCACTCTGGTATCACCATCTGAGAGCATCGTGAGCAGCCAAGATGATACTTATAAAAGCAAACTTCGTCAACGTTCTGTTAGTGAGGGTGGATATATCAGATTGCACAGAGGAATAGAGAAAAAGCTACAGAACAGGAAGACAAACCCAAAATCAGCAATACAGCAGGTATAAGAAATATACTATTTAGTATCAAAGTCTAGTTTTCAGTGGAAGAAAATATCATTTGTTTTCAAAGTAGTGTAAAAACACATCATTTCACTACTAAGCAATGCCTTGGATAGAAATATGAATGTTAATACAACATAATTGCTTATACAGGTGATAGGTATTTTTCGCATAGGCAGGGGGTGAACCTTGAGTTGGGTGAGGCTAGTCCCAAGCCTGGCCTTCTGCCTGAGGCCTTTCCCCTGCTATCCAAGCCCCCCCCCCCCCCACACCCGGCACAGGACCATCTCACCACCCCCCCCCCCCCCCCAACTGTAGGAGCAGAACACCCCTTCCCCAGCAGGAGGTGGGTGGCCTCCAGGTTTTGACCCTTCCTTCATCATATTTGGGGGGGGGGGAGGGCAGGCTGTGCACAGCTCCCAGCCTTCCCCAGGAGCATGGGGGAGAGAGGGCGGGTAAATGGAAGGTGGCTCCAGCATTCCCCAGCATGGGGAGAGAGGGCCCCAGCTCTTCCTGGAGCCCTGGGGAGGGCGGGCAGCTTCAGCGGGGCTAAAGACCAGCCAATCTCGATTCTATTAAGATACTACCCACTTCATGGTAAAACAGCGTTTTAAACATATGATCTGCAGTATCATTGTGGGTTCATTTTTCTTTTAAACAGTTACTATAAATTTAGTGAAATTTGTTAACATTACAGTCATTGCTGATACTATATAAGAGCTACATATTATATTAATATTAAAAGTGATATAGTAATGAAGGTTGATGCTTAAAACCAAGCATAAGACAGAATATAGTACTTTTTATTAAAAACTATCATTCAAAGGTTTTTTTTTTGCCAAATTAGGTTGCCATGAAATTAGTGCAAAGAGGGAAGAAGATGAAGCAACCGAAAAGAGATACTGCAGAGAATGAGGCAGAAGCTCAGATCAAATGCAATGAATGTGGGATGGTTTTTCAGAGGCGTTATTCGCTTATAATGCATACACTGAAACATGAAAGAGCTAAAGATTACAAATGCCCAGTAAGTTTGTCTTATTTACATTTTTCAAAAATTCCTCTTGGTTGGTAATTGCTCTTAATGTTGCTGTTAGCACGTGCATTTATTTTTGTCTTACAGATTTAGAAAAGTTTGGAAGTGAATTTAGAAAAGTTTCAGGGTGGTCAAATATTGGAATAAATTGCCAAGGGAGGTGGTGGAATCTCCCTCTCTGGAGATATTTAAGAACAGGTTAGATAGACATCTGTCAGGGATGGTGTAGACGGAGCTTGATCCTGCCTTGAGGGCAGGGGGCTGGACTCGATGACCTCTCGAGGTCCCTTCCAGTCCTATGATTCTATGATTCTATGAATGTTATTGGGAACTGAACCAGTATAAAGCTGCTTCTGACAACAATTGCCTCTGCCACTATTTTAATATTTACAGCTAATAAGGAGCCTTACATTGAAAGTACACTGAGATGTAATGCATATTTATAGTTTTAGTAACTGGATTTATAGACTAGCTAATCATATTACCATGATATCATGTTTGTTTACAAATGTGAAGTTTTTGTGCAAAGGTTTCTTGAAACAAGATAATTCAACAGTTTTGAAATAATTTCAGAAAATACACATTAGAGCACAGTGTATTTTCTTTCCTAGCTATGTAAAAAAGAGTTCCAGTATGGTGCCTCGCTACGTGCCCACCTTGTTCGACATACTCGAAAAAATGAAGTGAGTTCTGCAACTGCTAGTATAGAAGAGACGGGAGCATCAGCAGTGAAAGGCAGAACTAAGCGGGAGTTTATATGTGATATATGTGGAAGAACTCTACCCAAGCTGTACGCTCTCAGAATACACATGCTCAAACATACAGGTGTAAAGCCTCATGCATGCAAGGTAAAGAATGTACATCCTTTCCTGATTTCTTAGAAGTTTGTACTGACTTGTTGACACACTAGTTAGTAACTACCCTTCATTTAACAATTTAGGTTAATCTCAATTACTTCATAGTGCTTGTGTGAACAGTAGCTAATGTAAGAATTTAGCTTTAAATATAATTTGAGATTGAAGAGGAATTAGAGGGAATGTAATTTCCTAAGGTTGAACTGGGGCAGATCACTAGAATTAATGCCCCTTCTCATAAGAAGATGTCTTGGGGTTTTTTTATTACTGTCAAAATTTCTGTGTTTATGATGGGGTGTAAAGGGTTTGTGTGGTGACTTGGGGCAGGAGAATGAAGTGCGGGATCAGGGAGGGGTATGGGTGCAGGAAAAGATTTTGGCCTGGGAGAGAGGTGTAGGAGGGGTTCAGGGTCTGGGAGGGAGTTGTGACCTGGGGGAAAGGAGTACAGAGGGTTTGGGTGGTAAAGGCTCTGGCTGGGAGGCACTTACCTAGGTGGCTTCCAGCCAGCAGCCTTGCAGGGACCTGAGCTGCAATGGTAAGCTACTTCAGGGTGGCTCGGTTCCTGTGTGGGTGGAGAGGCAGGAAGGGAGGAGGCTTCATTGGCTGCCTCTGCCTCCAGCAAAATTTCTCAGCTCCTATTGGACAGAAACTGGCCAATGGAAACTGAGAGATTTTGCTGAGGGGCCAGACAGAGCACAAAGCCTCCCTCGTTGCTCCCCAGCATAGAGCAGCCATATTTAATGCGGCAGCAGCTGGGCTGCTTAAAGGTACCCGGGAGGCAGCCATG